TGTTTTTAAAACCATTTCGTTCCGGGAGGTGGATGTGTTATGACGTGTTTTCAAAGGATTAACTGACATTGGTTATTAATTAGCCTTTAAATTTTATATTAAGTACCTAGAAGAGCTATTGGTATCAGCTTATTTTTAACAAAATTTCTTGTTACGAAAACACTGTGTTCATAATTATTGTTATAATGATTTAATGTGATATTATATTGGGTGTTATTTTATGATCACAAACTTATAACATACTAGCTACCCTCGCGCGGTTTCAGCCGCTACTCAGCTACATTTGATCGTACCGTGATGTTTTATAGCCTATAGCACTCAGGAACATTGTAGCTATCTATCAGTGAAAGTATTTTGGCAATCCGACCCGCGGTTCCAAAGATTACAACCCTACATACAAACTTACAAATTTACAAATTTTACCTTTTTTATAATATTAGTATGGACGATGACATCAAACTCGCGGCTTAATTGCAAGTTCTCGATATATTGATAAAAGAATAAAATTATAACGTGTGAATATTATGTAAATAAAATGTGTTGAAATAGGTAACTCCTAAAATACTTCAAAATAAGGATAACAGTGTACGAAAAATAAAAATAAAATTGTTGTAAAAACAACTTTCTCACGTGAATTTTATTCATGAGCAGCGTGTAACTTTACTCTAGTAGGTAGAGTTTTTCTCAGTTAATTCAAGAGATAGTCGATACCTTCTATACATTTAACACGTCGAAATAGTTACTATTCACCAATCTCGATTAATAAACCCAAAACAACTACTTTCTTGTATCTTCAAATCACACGAATAATAATTCTCGCTGGGTCGAAAATCCTATTTAAATAATTATAATAAAATCCTTATTCAAAAAAGCATTTCAATATAAATAAGCGGAAAGATAATACAAGAATTATTTAAATTGTTATAAAATAAAAGTCACTGCCATGATACTTTTGCCAGACTTCGTGGCAAGGTAAATAATGAGACTGTAGATGGTTAAGGTCTGTTTATTACTTTAATTGCTGGTGCTTATATACTAAGAAGATGCGTGAGATTTTCAGATTTAGCTATCCTAACAAACGTGCAACAATTAACATGTATGTCTTATCTCTATCGTATCTAAGTAATGTAGCGACGTGATAGTGCCGCTACATATACTCCCCCCTTTTAAAAATAATTAACATATAAATTGAAAAAAATTAGTATGTACCTAATTATATAATAACTTAACCTTGCTGATAAATTACATCCTATGCGTAATGTAATGTCATTGTTGCTAATTCGAAGGAAATAAAAACTGCTGCCTTTGTTGTGACGGCGGCGGCAGTCGATGAACTATCCACTGCATTTGTGCTGATTGTTTCTTGCTATTGTTTTCACTCTTCTGTCTAAGGTCTTCAGTATTCCGTAGAGAAGAAGGATGCCAATTGTGATGAGGATTTGTCCAATTGCAATGATTCTCGTCCACCGTAGCTCTTCCAGGACAAGACTTGTGGAGGGAGGCTGGTTTCGTAATATCCTCGTATTCATTTAATAGTTGAGTAATGCGTGGATTCGTCTCAATGTTAATAGTGCGGATTGTTTGCTGCGTCGATTTGATCAGGGTTGCGGGCGTTGTCAGCTCAGTTACCCTATCTATGAGTTTTCGACCAGCTATATCGACTAATAGCTTATAATGCTCTAAAAAATCTGCTCCAATAATCGGTTGTGTTACATCGGCGATGACAAAGTTCCATACAAAGTTTCTTCGTAGCCCGAAGTTTAAAGAGAGTGTTTTTTCACCATATGTCTTAATTTTTGTACCATTGGCGGCATAAAGTATACATTGTTCATCTTGTATTAGTGAATGTCTCTGTGGCTTGCTAATAACTGAAATATTTGCTCCCGTGTCAATCAAAAATCTCATACCACTTTTTCGGTCGGTAATAGTGAGGCGGTTGGACGGGTGAATAGCACAGAGTTCCGCCGTTGTCCGTGCTTCAATTAGTTTCCCTGTTTCCTTGAGTTGAGATCCTGTTTCCAATCACAAGGTTGAACACACTTTTGTGCATATTTTTTAAATCTTCCATGGTAAAAACAAAAGTGCCTTCTTTCTCTTGAACTTGACTGTGGTAGGAAATGCCGACGATTGGAATAACTTTGAGTGCTGCGTCGATAGTTTTTTTGACCTTGCTGAATTGCATTTAGTTCCAATTGCATTTCTGCTAACTGTGCTAGTATGCATGACATTGTATCGTCGCCAGATTTGTTTCCGTTTACAGCTGACACCTCTGTACGTGTTGAATTTATTAATATCTTGTCCGCGATCTGGCTCATCTTGTTCACATCTATGTCTTCTGTGACTGCTAGAACCGAAGTCACTGATGGTGGCAGAAGCCTCAACCATAGAAGTTTGATGGTTTCGTCGCTGATATTTCCGTTACTCAGGGTCCGCATCTTGCGCAGAAGATGTGATGGTTTCTGGTCGCCGAGATCCATTTCAGACAATAATTTTTGGAGCTGACGTTGGTCTGATTCCTCATAGCAACTGATTAGGCGTTCTTTGATAGCCTTGTACTTTTCTATTGGCGGTGGGCAAGTAATGAGGTCACTAACCTGTATTATTTCTTCTTTTGGCAGTTTTGCAATGACCGTATAGTACTTGTAATCGTCTCCTTGCTTCTGTGGTGCTACTATGGCTTCTAGTTGCTTAAACCATAATCTGGGTTGGTCCCTCCAAAATTCCGGAATACGGGATAAAATGGCGGTTCCGGCTGATATCTCCAAGGCTTCTTGTTGGCTGCTGCTTGATTTGCAGGGTGAATGAGTCATGTTGATTGTTCTTCGTCGGGTCACCAATTTGCCAGACTTCGTGGCAAGGTAAATAATGAGACTGTAGATGGTTAAGGTCTGTTTATTACTTTAATTGCTGGTGCTTATATACTAAGAAGATGCGTGAGATTTTCAGATTTAGCTATCCTAACAAACGTGCAACAATTAACATGTATGTCTTATCTCTATCGTATCTAAGTAATGTAGCGACGTGATAGTGCCGCTACAATACTCTTACACAATTAAATCAAAGGGCAAACTCAAGTGTAGGATTACGGGAGAACGGTTGGAAGTAATTGTTTGTGGGTAGGTAAGTACTTATATTATTTAGGTATATATGTTTAATTTCATCGTTCTTGCCATGAACAGTGGTTCTGTGAGCTAAATGTCATCCAAACGATGGTCGACGAAGAGAATTGGGCACTTCAATCAGTCAAAACTAAGCCATTCGCCAGTTTCAATGGATCAACATTAAATTGGACACTTCAATTAGTCAAAACTAAGCCATATCGAGTTCTCAATGCAAGAAAAAACAAACAAACATGTATCTTTTAGTAGGTGCCTACCGGGCACGGCAGCTTCAGTAGGCACCTGTTTCGGATCCGGCGGTAGGAAACGCCTGGTTTTCATAATTGTGAGGACCATCTGGATGACATGGTGGAGCATACGGTGGTAGTGTGCCTTGCTTGGGCAGAGCACCGCCGAGTCCTCAGGAAAGTGACAGGCGGTGGCGATCACTTGGGTCCAGTCTTAGTCGAGGCCATGGTGCGGAGCAAGAGAAACTGGGAAGCAGTCTCCTCTTTCTATAGACCAGTGATCACTCACGTTCCAGCCGCCGCAGTAGGTGACGGGCGCTGACAGTTCGGAAACAAATCTTTTAACACCTTGGACGTGTCGCCAATTGACTAGTCTCATTGTACATATAACCCTAAATATACTTATATTAAATAAAAAAGTCATGGTCGGGAAACACCGATCAAAGATAAAATAAGGATCTTCCTTAAGGACTTCCTGATTACCACGTTAGTCCTTTTTTATTGTTTGTATGTATGTATGTAAAAATGATTAATTGATCTTGTAAAGCTGCTAACTGAAAGAGTAGGTAAATAGGGCAAGAAAACGTTTAGGTATAGGTACACAGTCCCTATCGTTTAAAATATATTTAGAAGGATCGTCTCTCCAACTTTATATGGAAATATTTGTCTGGCCGACTTGCGGTGGGAGTGACTTTCCAACCTTTCCAAAAATGACTTCATAACCTGACATCTGTGAGGGTTGAGAAGTGATTCAGATATATCTATTGGCCCGCATGGTAGTCAATGAAATGCGGAGAAGACCTATTATCACCGCAGGTCAGAAAACCCCTCAACCGGTACAACGTCATCTATGGTTATAAAATAAAATCATTGTGTGTGAGAAGAGTGATGAAGGGTTGTAGGTCCCAAAAAACAACAATTAGCGCCATCTGTCTTTATTTAGATATGTTGTTGTACAAGATTCGCTCTCGTATTTGCTATCGGGAAGGATAATGCTTCTTCTGTCCTCAACAAGGAACAAATTGTATAAATCCAACAGTGACCAGTGAACACTATCTACTTTCAATTAAATAGATGGACGCTAGGTACATTGAACATGAATCAAAACATTGTTATAACTTAACAGAAAGAAGAGCTTTGAACTTTTGAAAACAATATTTTTTACTGTCACTGATGCCTTTTGTATCTTCCTACAACTCCTCCTCGCGTCGGTTTCCTCAGTGCTGAGGGTCGTGACCACCTCGTGGAAGCAAAGTACTGCGTATTACTCTCCGCCATCTATTTCTATCTGCCGCCGAGTGAAGAGCATAGTGGACTGTAGTGTTGAGAGTGGTGCGAATCTGATCCGTCCAACGTATCGGACTTTTGCCTCTAGGTCTCTTTCCTTCCTAACAACCAAACCTACAACGACTATCTATAGGTATTTGAATAAAATCTTACTGTACAGGTTAAGAAAGCTGGGATTGCGGGTGTATGAAGGCGCAGTAATTTACTGCAGTGCCAGCCCAGAGCAGGTGAAGAAACGGGTTGGTTATTTGTCAGTTAGTGTGACACTTCCTCTCTACAACCCAGGGCGAGAGAAGAATACGATATAGCCTCCTCAAAAAATAAAAAAGGGTTTCATGAAATAAAATTACAATAATAATGTTTAAGGGTTTAATTTAAATAGTGTCTAATATATAATCATTATATTAATATACTATGAGCTTAAGCAATACTGAACAAAACAATAAAATTTACAAGTGAAAACTTTTATTACATACATTAAGAAAATTTTCAATAAATTATTGATTCCGTTTTATTAGTGACGGTAACAAATTTTGGCAAAAAAATTAAAAATAATATTTACAATGAAAATATAACTTTACATTGAATAAATCATTTGGGAATAAATTAAAAATGACGATGATCATTACGTAAATAATTTTATAAAACTTTTTTAAATGTAAAATTTATCAAAAATTTTCTACCACGCTTTAGTTGATACAAAATTCCAAAATGTTGTTTACAGCTAGGTAAGTATCAATTCCTACACCTAGTAAACTTTCGTAACAGTTTTGATAACATATTGTATCAATGTCAATTCCGATCGTATTGACACTAAAACATTCTATTGTGTCCGATTTGACTATAGGTACATTGAGATATGTAAAAACTTATCCACATTCATACTGTAAACTGTCGTCATATTTATCCGAATTATTTTCGTTAGTTTTTCAATGACTCTTTCGTAAAAGACGCGGTTTCTGATTGATAAACACAACGACACTTCCACTTACAACCAAGAGAACTCCAGTAAAAACTCAATACATACTAACTCTATGGTTACTCAAATCACACAACGCTTATAGTTAGGTAAAGACTAAAATAAAAACGTCTATGGAATAACATGCACAGTCTTTGACTACTTCAGTCGATAACCAGCAAAAAGCTTCTCGAAAATTCTCGATGAGGCCGCGGCCCTTAGTGGGAACTTGTGTTAACTGAAACACCTTTCACTGGTATAGTTTTGAGATAAAAATTACAGAATACAAATATTCGTATGGTCAATGTTATTGAGATTACAATTGGGGCAACTTCGTCAGGCCACGACCTCAAAATCGTCCAAAATTAGGCACCATGTTTGTGAGTAATTTTCAAAAAAACATATCCAAAAAAGAAAATGGCAGCTGTCGCTTCGTTGTCGCATAAAACTATTGGGTTCAATGACACGTCACACCGTCATACGTCGTTTGTAATCTCATATTTGTGACTCCGTACTTAAAACGGTCCAATAGGATCCCTACTCGATAAATATCACGTTTCGATTATACTAATCGTTTGCTTCCGACGGTCCAGCGTCCGAGATACGGGTATTTCTATAATGTCAATTTGAAGGAAGCTACGTAAACGTTTAAAGCCAAAATTATATTGAACCATGAGTGGAGCGTGGTCACACACAGGTGAACGTTGATTTTACCCACGAAGATGCTTTAGATTTTCCCTAATAAATTAAGCACACCTATCATATCGACATTGAGCTACGAAGGAACGCTGGACGCTACAAACATTCAATAACCTTTACTAGTTTAGTTTTTCGTTCAATTCTTTTGTCGTTCTCTTGAGTCTTCCCTGCAGACGCCCCTTGGGGGGGAGTCCCTGCCCTTGTGGCTGACTTTGGAAGCTTTGCGGGATCGCTTGAACTTGGCTACGTCGTCTCCGAAGACATCTCCTGTCCTGAGTGCGGAGATGAGGTCATCGAACTCTCCCTTCTGTCCGTTGGTGAGGGTTCCGTCTCGGGAACTGTCGGAGTGTCCATTGCAGTCCGCGTTTCCGTTGGACTTGCCGAGAGACTTGCCGACTGAGCTCAGCAGACTGGATGCCTGCTTCCGTTCCATAGTGCGTTTCTTGAGCTGAGAAAAATATTTGATGGTATTATGCAATGCTTGCAACACTCTTCAACAACAACTTATCGTAACTACCCATATTAGAGAGTGAATAAATTAATTTGTATATTAATTGTAATATAATAGTATATATTTTAAAGTGTATGTTGGAAAGTCATTATATTCATATCTACATAATTTTAATCTGTCAAAGATGTTTGATGTTGGAATATGTTCACAGTAATTTCTTGAGAAAATATTCCTATACTGAGAAGCTTGTGAGGAAATAGTACATTATTGTACAATGGTGTGTAAAGTTGGAGATTACCGTTGAGGCGCATTGAGGCCCGAGCCGGCAGACGAGGGTCTTGAGGAGCCGATGACAGTAATTACACACTTGTATCGTACGACGTTTTAAGTGTGTTGTAAAATACATATATTTATTGTATACCTCCTGTTCGTGCCTGGTGCGTCGCTCCTCGTCGTCCCGGCGACGTCGCGCGGCGTCGCAGTCAGCGCGCGCGTCCCCGAGCTGCGTGAGGAACACGTCGAGCGCGCCGAACAGTTGCTCGGGCGACGCGGACGCTTCCTCGCCGAATGCGTGGGCACACGCCTCCAGGCGACTCTTCATGTCCTGAGAGAATTTATTAGATTTTTGCATTTAATTAAAACGTTCCTCTTTAATCATTCTTTCTGTCAAAAAACCGCATCAAAATCTATTGCGTAATTTTGCAGATTTAAGCATACATAGGGACAGAGAAAGTGATTTTGTTATATACTATGTAGTTGTTATTATTATTATTGAAATAAGCTAACATTGTTTAGGCATCTTTTTTACCGAGTTAAAAGGCGAATATTACCAATCACAATCATACACACCTGGAACAGGTCCTCAAGCTGAGTAAATGAGCAGACAGCATGAGCGTGGAAGTCCCTCATGACAGGAAGGAACATGTCGTTGTGTGAGCGGTTGGGGAGGGCGGCGTGGTACTCCAGTTCCCTCGCAACCTCCCGGAGTCCGGTGCGTAGTGCTCCAACGTCCTTCTCCAGCTGTTCCACGCATACTTTGGCCGCAGCACGCACGTGAGGCAAGTCCTCTTCCAGAAGCAGGATGTCTTTGAACTGTGGAAAATATGGAAAGAGGTTAAATGTTGTATAAGTTTTTCCTTTTTTTAAGGAGCAACAATTTCTTACTCTCTCAGGGTTTTTTTTGTGAGGGGAAAATCATCAAATGACTTCTCCCACCCAGGGCCGAGCGGAAGGGAGTGTTAGACTCTTACTGACTAAAACCCCCCTGTTCCTTCTCCTGCTCTGGGCCGAGGTCACGGTGCCTCAAAAGGCACTAAGGGTGAGGCGAGAGGTAGTGCCAGACGGGATCGGAAAAAATGAGTTGCTTTTCAGTCAGTACGACTCAATAAGACTTGAAAACTTGTTCATTCTTCTACTGAAAGCCGGGGCTACGGTACCTTATTGCACTTCACCCGCAACCCCGGCTAAACATCGGTTTTGTTGGGCTCCCTTTGTATTGTCTTTGAGGCGCGCTGTAGGTACGTTCGGGATAAGTTCTACTGAATTTAGCTTTCACGAGGGAAAATTTATGCTCAGACATAAAAGGGAGTTGGCCCTTTTATGTCTGAGCATAATTTTCCGGAATCCGGAATCCGGAATTATACTAATTCTGCAGAGTAACTTGGTATAAAGCAATGATGACGTTGTTTCCCCGTATGAGTGGAATTACCTGTGGCCCAATTCTTCCGTATTACTTAATCCCAAAACCCAAAAAAGTCGTGGTGGCGGAATATTTGTAGTCGCTAAAAATTAGTCGGGGATGGCTTTTTTTCAAATAGTTCATTTGTTTTTACAAACCTGTGTTTCAAGCAGTTCAACGAGGTAATGCAGGAGTGTGGTGTTCCGTGACACTGAAGACTTGGTGTCCGCCAGCTTGTTCAGTGATGATAGACGGAATCCTGATGCATTGCCTCGAGCACCCCTATGTAACAAAGTTATGTATAAGTAAATTTATTTATATTGTTATTTTATCAAGTGATAAGATAGCTTTTTTTTAAAAAAAGGCGCTTCGATTTTCGATTTTCTCCTGTGTCGTGGGTGTGTTTACAAACATACAATATCACAAACACATCACACCCAGACCCGGAACAACAATTTGTGGATCACATAAAGAGTTGTTCCGGGGGGAATCGAACCCGCGGCACGTTGCGTGGCAGTCAGTTGCCCAGCCACCGCGCCAAATCGTTGGCCAGTTGTTTATGTATACCTATTTTATGAATATTGATTGTTTTTCTCTTTGTTGATGATAAATAAATTACATTTACAGTTATATAAAAGAAATAACTACAATCTAACTCCAAAGCGTCTGTTTTCATACGAATTTCTGATGTATAGTTCATACTAGTTACGTGCACATATACCTAACGGCTGTTGGGTATCATCTGTCTCAACACAAGCGGCGATGAACGAAGGGATTCAGACATTGTGATAATAACTTTTAGATATATGATAATTCCTGACTTGAATAATTCTAAGAAAAAGATTACGTTGATCTTAATTGATTTAAGATAGGGGCCACTAGAACTCTAGTCGTGGTGGCTCGGAGGTTAAAGCGTCCTTTTCTCATGCGTGAGGGTGCGTGTCAGAAACCTGGCAAGTACCAATGTGACTTTTTCCGAGTTATATGTACTTTCTATGATTATTTAGACAAAACTGACATACGGTGAAGGTAAACATTGTGAGGAAACCTGTACTTATAATTTTTAACTATACGTTTGAAATCGCCAACGTGCATTGAGCAAGCATGGTGATTAATGTTCAATAAATGTGGAGGGATGGAGAGGGAGAGGGAGATCAAAGAAAATATGGATAGATTGTGTGAGCAGTGATATGGAAGACAGAGGAGTTAGTGACAGCGTGACGGGTGACAGAACAGAATGGAAGAAAAAAACATATTGCGCCGACCACAAATAAAACGGGATAAGGGCAGGAAAATGATGGTGATTAATATTCAAACCTTCTCCGTGTGAGAAGAGGTCTTTGCTCAGCAGTGGGCACTTATAGGCTGATGCTGATGATGAAATGTCCACCATAACAGTAAGTGGTGTGTACCTGTTCATGTAGTTCCCGAGCGCGAGTACGACCTCGAGCAGCGCGCGCAGACGACGCGAGCGCGTCATGTCGCGCGCGGCGCGCAGCACGACGGCGGCGCGCGCGGTCGCCTCGCCCGACGCGGCGCCGAACTTCTTCTTGAACAGTAGCAGGCGGACGCGCTGCGAGTAGTGGGGGATCCTGCCACGAGAACACCGTGCAGTTTTTAGTTATTATTCAATTAACACTTACATCAGGTAGGTACGTTATAAAACATTGTTACCGATTATACAATTATCTCTCATTATTATGATAAGATTATCTACTACGACATCACAAAAATTTATGAACTTCACTTCTCGAAGAGTACCTACCATGAATAGTGTGTAACAAACCTATTACTATTGAAGAAAAACAATATCAAAACTTTATACATTTTCAATTCAATAATAGTACAAATTCAATAATAATACAAATTCAGTTACACCTATGTTTCACAATATTATAATATACATAGTATTTTTTTTCTTTTTAAAAAAACTTTGCCCTACATTAAGATTATCTCCTGTGTCGTGGGTGCGGTTACAAACATACAATTTCACATACACATGACACCCAGACCCGCAACAACAATTTGTGGATCACACAAAGAGTTGTCCCGTGCGGGAATAAAACCCGCGACACGCTGGCACACGGCAGCCAGTTGCCCAACCACCGCACCAACCATCTTCTTACCCAAACGTCGAAACCATGAAACTTTTTAACAGACTAATAGATAACTAATAACAAAACAAAATCGCCCAACATGTATATACTGACTTGGAGATCTCGTAAAGGAACCGGTCGGCCCTGGCCATGCTCTCGAGCTCGTCCTGATGTTCCTCGAGTAGCGCGGCCTCCTCGGCGCTGGGCGTGAACTTCACCAGCTGCTCCACCATGTCTATCGGCAACTGCTCACCGCTGTCCATGCGGAGGATCGCTCTGGAAATGAATTTAATTTTGTAAGCAAGCCATATAAAACACCATATTTACACGTCAAAAGTATATATGTATAACAAGCAGCCGAACATAGCACCTCCTTCTTTTTTTGAAGTCGGTAAAAAATCTAGATGAAGGTACACCAGCGATTGTAAGACTTTTTTATTTTAATTTTTATACAAAAACTAGAGCTATCTTTGTATTAATCTATTTTTTTTTTCAATAGATCATTTAATAATCGCTATTACTTACTATTAGACAAATCATTTCTATATAAGTATACATATTGTAAGTAAAAATATCATCACACCGCTATTCTCCCTGTTCTCTACTTCCCCTTTACTGCTTATTAATCCAAAAATTGTCTGGAAGAGATCCCTTAACTAGATCACCAATCTACTAACTTTTATATAGGTATTGGTGTGTCCTTCGTATCGTTATGGTGTCCAATTAAGGATTTGATAAATAAAAACAAACACGTTTAAGAGGTTTTGCTACTTGATCTCAATGTGGAATCCCAATGAAATATGGACTTCTAAGACTAGATATTTGTACTCACCGGCAAATCTCCTCGTCAGTCATTTTCAGTTTGGACAATAGAATGGTACAGTTCTGCGCACGGCGGCCGTCGATCACGGTCAGTATCTTGGTGCGCGGCTTTGAGCCCAACTGCCTCAGGTCTTCTACTGAGCCTTCGTTCTGTAGAAATAAAGGATATGGTCAGTCCTACAGACTTTTGTATTTTGTTTCTCGCATTAAATGTGCTCTCTTCAAATTTTGTAAGCTTTAAATTGCTTAACTACTGTTAGAACAAACCCCGTCAAATGTGGGTCTAGTTTTTCTTACTATAGATGCAATGTAGGTATCATACACAAAATAGTACCCATTTGGGTGTTTAAAATAATTTTACACGCTCAGAAATATAACAAACAAAATATTAGACTATAAAAACTCACCTGAACTCCATTCTTCTGGTACGCGCAGAACATTTTATCAATGGTATGCAAGTCCATAGCATTGTATAGCTTGGTATCGTCCAGCTCCTGCCAGATGGTGCCATGCAGCTTGGTGTCAGGCAGCTTGCTCCAGTTGAAGCTCTTCAGCGGGTTGCCAGGAGTTGGCACGTTCTTCTTGGCGCGGGGCGGGGCTATGGCCGGCGCCATCGGTGCCATGGGCGCTGGGGGGGGCGCGGGCGCTGGGGGCGCCGGTGGCAGAGGGGGGGCGCATACTGCAGGGGGTGGGGGAGGAGGCGGAATCGTACAGGCGGTTTCGATGACTGCGCTCTTTAGGTTGCTCACCTGGAATATAAGGGATTGTGTTCGAATTAGTGCTTTCATTTATGTAATGCTTTGGTTGTGTTGTATGACTCTACGTTCAAGCATTTTTGTACTAAATGAAATCTCAACCAAGTTTCTATACATATTAAGAGGCATCTTTTATAACCAAGTAGCAATAACAACATCTGAGGTTAGATCATAACAGGATGATTAGTTAAACTTATAATTAGGTCTTAGGTCAAGTCTAAATGTTTAGTGAAATTTCATTACAATTATACATATAATTAAAATTTTACACAGGTACCTTAGCATCATCTGGTATGCTTCCCTCACTGACTAGTTTCTCAAACCTCGCGCGTTCCGCTCTCTCCTGGTTCAACTGTAAACACAAAAAACACATAATTAATACCTAATCTACAAATAAATTCACTCATGTTATTTTTTAGCTGTATTATTACATTTGCCAGCAATTGTGCAAATAGTAGCCGTGGTGGCCAGAAGTTAAGGCGCCCACTTCTCATGCATGAAACCTGGCAAGTACCAATGTAACTTTTCAGAGTTATATTTACTTTCTGTGATAATTTAGACACCACTGACATACAGTGAATAAAAACATCGTGAGGAATCCTGATCTAGAAGTTAGTAATCGCCAATCCGCATTGAGCAAGCGGGGTGATTAAAGCTCAAACCTTCTCCGTGTGAGAAGACGCTTATGAATTTTCACCACTAATGGGCTGATGATGAACAACTTCTATAGCCAGTCTTGAATATTAAGCCAGTTCATAATTGGTCTCAAAAATGTTTTTTTTTTTCTCTTTTTATTTAGAAATGGACTATTTGAAAGCCAGCGATAGGATTATTGACTATGCAGATTGAAAGCTAAATATAGGATTGTTGATTGCATTAGATATAGAGCTTCAATCCTAAACAAAGATCCCTTCCGTTATTTGGAGGTGATTATATAGATGACTAGCTTCTGCTCGCGGCTTTGTACGCGTTTAAACGTAGTGTACGCCGTGATTTTAGTAAAAGCAGCGTTTAAAGCGATAGTTCGACTAAAATATGCAAATCAAGTACATATCATTTAAAGCCTATATATCACTCGAGAACATTGTAGCTATCTATCAATGAAAGACTTGGAAATCCGACCAGCGGTTTCAAAGATACCTACCTACCTACCTACCTACCTACCTACCTACCTACAAACAAACTAAAAATTTTACCTCATTATAATATTAAGTAAAATGGGGTGAATTGATGTTGTTGAATTTTCCTAGTATCTATTTACCCCTCGAATTGTATTTACCCCGTTTAACCGTATAGATAAAGACTGGCCGCCTTTCGACGATTGCTATCTCTCGATCCAGGAGCCCAGGTCCCCGAGACTCCAGTCGTATTAAGTTACCTGTTGTTCGAGCAGAAGAGCCCTGGTGGCGGAGGCCCGGGCCCGCTCCGTACACTCCATGTGGGCGGCCGTCTCGCGCTCGAGGCGCTCCTTGAGTCGGCTGACGACGCCCTCCAGTTCCTCCCGCTCCTGACTCTGCTCGTCCACTTGCTTCTCCTGTTAGTCGGTTAGCGGTCAGTACATGCAAGTGATCGGTGGCTATTATTATTAATGGTGGTTAAGCGAGCGGTTCTGATTGGCTGGGTTTTTGAATGAGTAATTTGAATTCGAAAGTAAAGTTTTTTGTTACTTTAAATAATATTTTAGGGTCGATTTGTGAGAGTAATAGTGCATTAAAGGAGAGATTGTCGTGTGTATCGGGGCCGCGGTGTTTAACTTATTAGTCAAATCGCGTCCGTTTTAATCAATAACCCCAACAGAGATAATTTATTTAATTTCCCTGCTAAATAATACTAATTACAGAATAACATCTCTAGAATATTGTTTTATTAATAAAAACATTTCAGCAAGCAGCACTCATTAAACTAACAAGACTTTACTCGACAGAAGCGCCACCTAGGGCGTGCGAAAAAAGCAACTTATACTATTTTTCCACATATTAATCTAAAAGACTTTCTAAACAATTTAAAACGCCCCAAAAACTCCAGCTAGTCAGAACCAGCAACGCGAACCATTTTATTGAAGGCGTTACCCCGCACATAGAACCACTTGTCTCAAAAAGTTTTATATAATGACGTCATGTGTGACAACATTGTTATAGACCGTCCCATATCACGTACAACTTTGTAATTTGAACTTTATTACGTTGGATTAGGAATCAAAATGTACCGTGATATGGAACAGTGAATGTGATGAAAATGATTTAGCCTGTAATGGAATATTATTATTTTAATAACGTTTGATTTCCGCTACCTTTTAAGCTTTTGTAGATATTGTTGAAGATTGTTTATCCTCCTGATCTATTTGTTTGATAGATTGATCAACATGCTATGAACTATTCATGACTGGGACTTAGACAAATCAACATAGTTAGGTAACATACGCATTTTACTAACGGCTCTAATTTAAAAAGGGTTTCAATCAAAAATTTTGAAATTTATATCATATTTAACATTTTTGTTATAATGACTTCATGTAACAATTCAACACTGATTCAGACACTTTTATACTAGAGTAGTTTCCTAAGTAAAAAATAAATTATTTTGACTTTTTAATACAATTACTTAATAAAATATAATCATACTTTCATTCATTGATTTGACGATAAACTTAACTCTAGATATTTTCTAGTCAACTAATTAAAAATAAGTATGGTGTTTGACGTTAAAAAATTATGACGTCACACTCCGAGATTTCATACAAAATAATTAGAAAGGTATCGTTTTTGACATTTCAATAAAAGTATTTAATTCCACTAGTTGGAGACTACGGAAACAGTCTGCAGTTGCTTATTATAGCTACGGCTTAGCGCCAACAATTTTAAACTTGGAATGGGACCACGATTATTATTATTTTTATAAAACACTATCCCTATAGTGAAGCAAAATTACTTCTCACTAACAACTTTCCTACCATGCTTTACAGAATATAAAACAAAAAGACTTCTTTCCCAGTATACTGTTAGAGGATAATAAACAAAATCTTCAACAACATCACAGTCAATAAGGTTCAAATGTGCCTCACCTTCTTAGCGAGTTCCGTGGCGAGGTCAACGTTTTCTTTTTCCAAATTTTCTGCCTTCGTTCTAGCAGCCACCAACTCTTCTTCTTTGGCAAGGAGGTGAACTATCTCACCGACATTGATCTCTAAAGGAGCCACATCTGGATCGTAGATCTGGAAAAAACAAATAGTTTGGAATCTAACGTTGCAGTGTTTTAAAAAACATCCTACTAGAATAATAAAACTAAAAATTATGGGGTAAGGTGTACATATCTAGAAATTTACAACATAATAACATTCCAATGTTTTTAAATACAGTGTATTCGAAGAATAAGGTCAAAAATGGGGTTAGAAGTGGAGGTTTACTTTCTTATTGAGATTGCATTCTATTAAAATTGAGATTATTTTAAACTAATGAATCGGCGCCGCCCATATTCATTCTCAACGCCGAGTTACGAGTGTGTTGCCAGCCTTTTGGAGATTAGGTTTTCGGACATTTAGGGATTTAAATAATAATAGGGGAATAAGGGTCAAATTTTCATGACAAAAGCAATGAATAACAATACAAGGCATACCTTGTTGGAGTCGGTGGTGCTGCCCCGGTCGGAGCCCTGCAGCGAGGCGGCGCGGCTGGCGGCGGCGGGCTGCTGCAGGACCAACTGCTGCACCACGCGGTCTACCAGCAGCCAGTGCTGCGTCGCCGGGCTGTACTCCACTGGGGGCACGGGATATACATATAAATACATAAGTTAACACTATATTTTATCAATCTCACTTGGATTCCATCCGTGTATTACAAGATGAAAGAAACATAAAATGTTCAAAAAAGTTTAATAATAGTATTAAAGTTGTTTGAAGGGCCTCTGCGAGTTGACTTCGGCTCCTTGGAATTTACCAGAATCCTGTAGTCTCATAAATAGAAGCTATAGGATGCAATTAGCGATATTCCGGACTCTGCTTGCTGCAGCGGTCTTCCCTAGGCTCCACAAATATCCCAGAGCAACTACAAAAGCGGGGCAACCCTAACAACATCTTAAATACATTTTTGTATTGGACACGTAGAGCAAAAATCGTACACCGCGTAAACCCGAACCACAAGCTGCACGTGTAGAAAATCTAACAGTAGACTCTTAAATAGTGTAACTTTAATAGTAATGCTATTAATTACGAATTTTTAAAAAAGGAACGAATCTTAAAAACTAGTGAATAGATCTAATCCATTATAAAAGTACCAAATGTTATTTTTAGTATTCCTCTAGAATCTAGAGGAATGGACGGAAGGAACTTCGGAAGGACTACATCTCGTCTCCCATAGAGAATCCATCACACACATCCATTGTGTCATCCAATATTTTCTCTTAAAAAAAACCAAACTATCACGTAAAAAATGTTAAAAGTACAACGCACTTGGAAAATGTTTCACAGTATTCAAATAACTATACTGAAAAGATCAACTCACGTGGTAACAACAGCAGATGTTCCAGCATGGACAGTAGGTGAGGGTACGCAGCAGTATGGCTGAGCTTCCTCCTCAGCAACTCGAACATGGAGGTGGCGCTCTTAGTGTCCACGTGCTCCTTGTCGAACCGCCGCGCCAGTTCCCGCTCGTCCTCATTACGAATCATCTCGAAGAATTCGATGTGACGGTCCAGAGTCTCGTTTTCGTATTTACGGAGTTTTTCGATAACTGGAAGTTTAAAATAGAGCAAAATGAGAAATATTATTTATAAATACTTCTGATGAAATATTGTACGTGTAAATCGCCCTGAAGGCTTGAACATTTAAATACTTACTAAATTATTGACTAGAATAAAACTGAAACTTTACCAAAGAAAAAAAGACAAATGTTGATAAGACATTGAAAAATGTATGACCAAAGTCCCTAAATCTGTATTAGTGTAAGGCAAATTATTAAATAATCTGTTTTCGTAAGTCATAAAAATCAACAAACCTGGTTGTATCCCCAACATAAGCAGTTCGTATCTAAGATGCAGCCTGAACTCCAAGCTTTCCTCTCCAGGCCCGTAGTTCAGGACAGCGTTCACAAAGGACATGATAGCTGTCTTCAAGCCAAGGTCATCGCGGTAGGCTCCAGTACTCCTGTCCAGCTCGTTCATTATGCTTTGGAAGCGAGCTCTCTCACCGGCGTACTTCTGGTAGTGGACCATCGCTTCTAGCACCTAGAGACAGTTTTGAAGAATTTTGAGATTTCAAGAATAAGAAGACCTGGCACATCATGCGTTTGTTCTACTAAGGAGAACGCATCGGAATAGTATCTTAGAAGATAAAAAAATAGACGTCATTATATGCAGAGAAAATTATTAATTAACTAAAAGGTATTTCTTCTGGTGTTTAGGTTATACACCCAAAATATTTAATTATTCTTGCTGGTATCATTTACAGCAAAACCGCTTACATTCCTTGTTACCTGGTGTAAAAAGACGTTCAGTCCAATTTGCACTACATCTTCCTACTGAACCATCATCACCTTCTACTTCATACATACTTACAAGAAAGACTTTAGTCTTTCTCCCAAAAGACTGCCAGATACCAAAAGACCCACACTAAATTCTAAAAATCTAAATATATGCACTACCTTCTTATGTCCTCCTGGTACAAGACAGACAGCGCCCAAAATCTCAAGTGCAGCAACCTTGGTCTTAACATTCTCAGTGTCTAAGGATTGTGCGATCAGATCGATGCTCGTGGGATGGGCCAGGACATGCGCGCGCCCAGTCTGCAAAAATGTATAAAGCAGGTAAGAAGATAGCGATAGAGATAAAGAATACTACTTCTTAAGCCTTAATAGCATCTTCATTCAATTTTACACGGAAGAATTGTATATAACCCCAAGTTTGAAACGGCTCACTGCAAAACAAACGCTGATTTTTGAGGTAATTTATACCTAAAGAAAAGCATTTTACTTCAGATAATTCTGTTGTTTCGACTGTTCCCGTCAAAAATTACATTTCTACAGCATACCACCCCTTTCTTTAGCTAATAGACCACCAAAGGCAGGGCCCGATAGGGCTGATATTCAGCCGGGGTTGCGGGGCAAGCGCTATAAGGCCCAACGGGCTCGGCCTGAAGTAGGAGAAGGAACATGTCACATTTTTATTTTTATTTGACATTTTTTATTTTATTTATTATTTTTATAATTATTTATTGACATTATTATTATTTTGTTAGTGTAAGGACCGTGTGAGACTTGCCGCGCTTTTGGACTACCAGTTATCTGCGTTCTGACAGTTTGAGTACTTGCGCGACCCAACCAAATGTTCTTTAGATCGGTATTGTTCGTCGGACAACTCAGCAGCACTTGCTATGCTGGTTGCAAACTGACACTTGCGTGCCTGTCTTCAGAACGGGTCCACTTAAACTGGTGTGGTTCTTTCATCAAAAGACCACTACAGAATCAACTTGCACGGTTCTCTCATATTATGTTATTTTTACATTGTCTGGACTTGAAAAGAGGCTGACCTCTGAGTTTGTTTCGGCATTTCTTCTCAGAGTAGTCAGATAGGAAATGCCAGCTTCATCTAGTTTTTTACATATAAATTGACGTGTAAAAGTGCCGTTTTATGGCCTATTTGCAAAAATAAATTCATTGTTTCATTGGTTCAACAGGGTCATTAATAGTCTGACACTGCCTCTAGCCTCAACCTCGTCGAGAGAAATCATTAGATGCTTTCCCCTCACGAAAAAAGCATCCCTTTCTTTACACTAATCTACACTAACAAACAACAAATACTTACCGAGTTGTTCATGAGCGCCTTAATAGCCGCTATGAGGTTATGCCTGGTCAAGGCATCGTCCCTAGGTGCCTTCTGTAGGGCATCTAGCAAGGAACCAAGACCTCCTTGCTTGATGAACCGGAGTACAAAACTGTGGGCTCGCGTCCTTAATGCTGTTTTGAGGCCGTCGACGAGAGCACATGCTTCTGCTGGTGGTACTCCATCTTGTGAGGCGAAGGCCTGGAAATGTGGGAATAGGATTGAGATTGCGATATGCTATTATTTTGTTTTTATTGACATGACATACCAATCGTAAGAAGAGAAATAATTAAATAGTAAAAATTAACTGGGTCGTATTTTGTAATATAGTTTAGTTGCTTTAGATTAATACTTTTGTGTTAGTAATTATTTATAAGTCACCTAGAATACACCTTAGATACTAGTATAACTGCAGAACATCACTAGAGAAAAACTGAATTGGAAATAGAAAACCACAATTCTTTATAAAAGTACTAAATTTTGGATTGATTTTACTAACGGGGTAATTAATATAAATACTTACATCAGCGATCTCATTGAGAGCCTTGATGTACTCCTCGAGTTGTGGCGCTGTGGCGAGCGGCGGAGGCTGTCCTGGTGGTGGTCGCCGGCTGCAGTAGATCTGCCACTTCTTGGCTGCAGGGAGTGCCATCATCGCAGCCTTGTTGACTGCCGTCAGGTCCAGCTCTTCCTGTTAACAAGAATTTGAGGGCTGAGAACAAATTCTTATAAAACGAGAAAGTAATAAAGTCCGGACATATAAAAAGGAAATATTAGGAATAGGAAAATTTGTTTAAAATCGAAATTAAAAGCTGTCAATTGCAATGAAGCAACGTTCGACATTTCCATTAAATGTAAATAATCATGGATTTATTGTACAATTGCGTACTTAGACTGTTACATCCAGACCGAATCTCAATATTATACTAATAACAAATAAAAGGTTAACCTTTTATTTTGTTACTTTTTTAAGTTACTTGTAACAAAATGCAACGTAAAAAAGAGATACCAAATGTAGTAGGTGGAATCCAAGCCATCTTCCATTAAAATTCCTAATGAACCAAACCCTTAAATTCCAGCACTAACACATTTGAACCGTCATCATCTCAAAAGGAAAAACAACATTAGAATTTGGCAGTACGCGCAAAAACCTTAGAATTGTATATTTTGGATAGTCATTTAGACGAACTCGTACTTAAATCGTTATTTGGTTCAGTAATGCAGTTTATGTACCTATTACTTCCTTAAATGGGTTGCAAAACACGGGCAGTTCTCGATTACAATTTCAAATGTCACCTTTTATAGATATTGGATCGGACTTTATGTGACCTACTTGGAAAATAAGTAGGAAGAGTATATTATAGATTGACATTTAATGAAGCTGAGCGATTTATTGTTGATTTTGAATATTATTAGGATTTTCTATTCGTATTTCACTCTGACACTGATTTCACTACCTGGTTGCATATAGAGATCTTAAATAAATCTATCTTCAAAAGAAAAGATGAGAAAGAAAAGATCCAATTCCATGAACTCTTGCGCATTTTTTAACAATTCTAAATACTTTAAACGGCTACTAATAAATAATAGAATTCTAATTATTTTAATTACTTCATCTAAAATTATATAAATAATCTCCTTTTTAAGCAACCAAAACCGATTAGTTTTATTGTAGACCAAAAAGGATATTGGACATTAACTTCCTTTAATCAGATAAATAAATATGTTAAAATTAGAAACTACGGTCTCAGTGATAGTAAAATATTTAATATCATATTACCTACTGCACTTTCTGATGTAGATATGATAATGTCAATACATTTGCATATCAGCTTTTCATATTATTCCGTTTGCATTAACGTTGCATAAATATAAAAAGGATTCTTATGTGGATTAATTTTGACTATTTTTAAGGAGAAATCAAGACCCCAAATCCTCCTATTTTCAGATCACTGACACCTGGATGTTGCGGGTGAGCATAGGCGGCGATGATTGCTAACCATCAGGTAATCCGTCCACAGTGGTCCAAACGTTAGATCTACTTTTCTATATATCTTTAAACAAGATGAATCTATTTACATAGAGCAGAGTTATACAAATCTAATTATATTTGGGAACGAAAAATTAAAACTCAATATTCACAAAACAGCGTATTCTACAGACAATGTTTACACCGAAGTAAAACCTAAAAAATAAAGCCAGTACCCATTCCACCGTCCGACATTCTACGATCCAAGAAATTGGTTCACAGCACAATAATTGACAAGGTGACAAACGCACAAGTATGGTCTCCGCTAACGAATCGCGATCATGTATCGAGAATCGAATCGAATCAGCTAGTGCCGGACTTCCTAGAAGAAAGGCAATCGATCAAGCGTGGATCGATTTATGATCGATATAAACGTGGAAATTGAAGTGCGGATGTAAGATTGAAATGTAGGTTTAGTGAATCGTAAACAATTATTAGGTATTGACTTCAGTGGCTACTGCTTATGCTACTTATGTAGTTCATTTATTGGATTTAGCATTACTTCCTTTTGCCTAAGTAGGTTAAGTATTGAATCGTGGCTCAGGAATTTAGACCTATATACGGTATTTACTACAGCATACGTTATCCGCCACGTAGGTCACCGGCAATCTACGGTAACAGAGCATTTGTCTTTAATAGTTCTTGATTGACAGTCAAAGGCTTAAGTGAAGGAGAACCGTGCCTTGTGGCCTGATACCACGGCAGATAACACATAACAGAAAACCTGCGAAACGCGTTGTGTTTTGCAACGCAAACGAAACCGATGGGAAACATCCAGACAGCCACCTACGTCAAGTCATTAGTGTAGAAAATAGCACTTTCCCTCACATTATCGTCAAGAAGGAGAGATAAACCAACTCAAAGACAGATGTGGAGCAATCTTATCATAATCAAATGCAAAAGTATTGAATGCGAAGAAAGCAGAGGTAGAAGTAAAATTCATTTAGTCTAAACCCCAACATTTCTTTTAATAAACATAAAATTACATTAAGTCTAGCCCGACGTCTAAATTATTATTATTAGAAATCACGATAAAATAGTGAAAGAAAACATCCACGATGCATTTTTATTAATACTTAATTTAAATTTTATTTATTTTTATTAAAGTATGCATGTGTAATAAAATGTTTATTTAAATATCGGATGATATCTTAATAAAACATTTTGTTTAGCTATCACAAAAGTTTACGATTTGAGAATTAAACTTTCAGAAATAGGAAAAAGCTGATAGATTCAGATAGACACAGGCATATTAGTAGATCATTTGTAGACTGATTGTAATAATGATTATGACGATATTAATAAGTGGAAATGTGGCAGCCAAGTTGGACTATACTGACGTTGACTACACAGTTGGCGCGGTGGCTGGGCAATTGGCTGCCGCGCAACATTTCGCGTGTCGACTCCTGCACGGAACTCTTTGAGAAAATCCAAAAGTGGAGCTACGATTTTATAATGAAAAAAAAATCATCAGCCAAAATCAAAAGTTCTTATGTTTTGAGCCAAGTCTCAACGGGGACAAGTGAAAGAGCCTTCTTTATATTTTAAGACAAATAATCAAAACCAGGGCTAAAGCAAAACAAAAACCAAAATCATAATCAAAATTACATAACCCATTCACAATCGCCTATCAAAATAACAATAGCTAAGTACAAGACAATCCAATCAAATTAAACTTTCGACAAAGACAATTAATCTAAGACCAGCTACCTTCTTTAATAAACACATGTCATTTGAATTAATCCATTGTGTCCAGAACAAAAGAGTTCACTTTCTTTATTTCGTAATCGAGATTTGATATTATTTTCGCCTTAGGGGATCAATTTGATAATCGACAGCTGAATAAAGTCTTCAAGCTTATCTTTGCATGTCGAAGCATTGGGGTCGATGACTCCTGATCTAATGCCTGTTATGTAAAATGTCGTAGACAGAACGCGCACAAAAACAAGTCAGTTAAAAACGTATTTTATTGAAGAACTAGATGTTGTTAGATATCTAAATGTAATATTGTGTTAGGCTACACAATATTACAGCCGGGGTTGCGAGTCAAGCGCAATAAGGTACCTAAGGGTACTGCGGCCCCGGCCTTGAGCAGGAAAAGGAATGGAATGGATTCAGTAAGAGTCTGACTCTCCATCTCACCTCACTCTAAGCGAGAGTTATTTGATGAATATCCACCCTTAAAAAAGGAACAAGATTATCATTGTCCATTATTTCAATCTTACTAAAAAAGCTCTGTACTTTAAAATACGCTGAATACATTTAATTTTGCTTATATATTTTTTCTGCTTGCTCTTGTTTCACCTATAATAAAGTGCCAAATGTGTGTGTGAGAGATTTGCCAAACAACATAAATTAAGTAAACTTCAAAAAAACTTACTAGTACTAAAGGCTGACCTCATAAACCACAGAAAACAATTTAAAAATACCAAGTTAAGCTTCTAAATTAAAAACAAATAGTTAAGATTCCCCACTGATGACAATAATTTAGATTTTAGGGCACCATTTATGATAATTATGTCGGCAATTTTTCAAACGGGTGCTCTGCGCGTGAGTTGGATTCGCATAGTCCACATACGAACGAGAACCGTTTAAAGCAATTGCCATAATTAGACGAGTATCATTAGAGATCTTGTGGGTCAACGACCTTTTTTATGCAACGTAATTATACCATAAGGACGTGTGAATTATTTGAAATGGTTTAATCATTAAATTGTTAAAAGAAGATGTTAATTCGCAAACTGTTTATATCAAACACCCAAAACAGAATACATAAAACGATGAGGGTACACTAGTCAGTAATTAATCACTAGTTAAATTAGAATAACTTGAATTGATTCACATATTTAACTGTTTGAGAATAAAGGTAAGTACACGATACGAGGGTGGACAGACGACCTGATTAAGGTCGCAAGAAGCCGCTGGATGCAGGTCGCTTCCAACCGGCCTATCTGGAAGTCAATGGGGGAGGCCTATGTCCAGCAGTGGACGTCCTGTGGCTGATATGATGATGATGATGACACTATACAGTAATTGATTTTAGGCAAAATACAATTTTATCGCGGTAAACTTTTATAACAAACTGTGACGATACGAAAAAAATATTTAATTTGGCTGGTTATCAAGTAAGTAATTAATTTATAATAGGTGCCTAATTAATTTACAAAGCTATTGTTGTCATGGTCTTTGCGATATGTCATTAATCAGTATTCAATTATACGTAAAAGAATTTGAACTATGTCGCCTCTAATTACGCGAGGTCGTAATAAGATATTTATCCTTGACCTCAACTTAATGACCTTATAATAAGACTACTCACTTGTTGATTAGTCAATACAAAGTGCAAGTACAGATCACAAAGGACTCTGTTTCGACCTCTTAAACAAGAGAAAGAAGTACCTGCTGATATCAGTATTTTAAAAAATACCGACTAAACCATCTCACGTCACCCTATTTTTCTGTAAAAGGGATCAGTGCCCAGTCAAAGTTACATATGATCCAAAACTGTTTCCTAAAAGCGCTTCCACGGTACGTCCGATCCGAACCCTTGAAAATATGCTTTATCGTAGCCATAGAACTATTTTTATAGTAAAGTTAACGTATTATATCCGTCATCCTTCATCCGATTTCTTCCAATTGATATCCAATTCTGACTTTTTAGA